CCGTCTCGGGGCACCCCTCCAGCCCCACCAGCTCCTTCTTGGCGGCAGGGGCCCAAACCTGAACCCGGGGCTCCAGGGGGACCATCCCTACCCTGGCCCTGCTGGCCACACCAGTGCTGACCCAGGCCAGGACGCCGTTGGCCTTCTTGGCCACCTGGGCACCCTGCTGGCTCATCTCCAGCCGCTGGCCACCAGCACCCCCAGGCCCTTTCCCGCCGGGCACTTTCCAGCCGCTGCTCCCCAAGATCTCAAATTTTATGAAATCTGCTTTTTTTATTCTTGCAATGAGAGTGAATTCATAGAAACAAGCAGCAGCCTAACCCAAGTTTAGGGAGAGCGTCGGCAACGCGTTACGGCTGACCAAAGTAATACCTCATATCCGGTGTAAGACTGTGTTGAATATTCAAAATCGGAATCAGGTCCACCTGGGCAGTACCTGCAAATGGAAAAAGACAGAAAACAGGCATGAAACTCATACAACAACATAATCTGTCCAAGGTACAGGTACACAAGAGGGCAGAGGCTGAGCAGATGCTGCTCTAGCGACATCACCTCTCATCAGAAACACAGGCGAGCGCAAATTTGCGACACCCGACTGCAGCAACACACCTGCTGCTCTCACACAGAAGAAAAGAACTCCACCGAAGGAAGCTTAGCATCAGCTCAGGCGCTTCGGGACCTTAATGCTGCAACACAGCTTCCAGACTACAGCCAGCTCACAGCTGGTCAGCTCAGAGCACGGGACGAAAGAACAAATGAATGAATTCCCACGTTTCTGCATCACTCAATATAAACACAGGCAGAGCCTCAAACGTCCACACCAGAGAGAGCGATTCTGTGATATCCAGCCAAGCCGAGAGGGACTGAGCCTATAGATGCTGACAAATGCTATGAACACAGTGTGGAACAGCTGTTTCATTTAATTTTAATGAGAATGGGACATCAAAAAAAACAGTTTGGACCTGTCAAATCACTACATCCACAGGAAACAACTTGATAAGACTTCCCAGAAGCAAAAGGTAGCACGAATGTATTTCTGGAGCGTGGTATTATCTTAGGGAGCTGCCGTACAGTTTGGGAGTAATAGTCACAGACAAATTATTAGATTTTTTAAAAGGTCATTTTACAATCATAAACAACTTAAATATTTTCCACTGTCCTATCAGGAATTTGACATAAAACATGATTTTTGTTTGGCATGGGAAGACACCAAATAGAGATATCATCCCGTTACACAATCTACATCTCTTTTCCAGAAACTTATAGGGTTTAAACATCTTGATGGTGAGAAAGCTCTTTTACATTTGTTTTCTGAAATTAGGAACACGCTATTTAATGAATACAGCATTCTAAGACTACTTCCAAAGACATAGCTCACCTACTTTGGATAACGTTAAGGCAGTTTGATACTAAATTACAGTTTCTGCATTTAGAGGCTTGTTCAAAACTCATTCTTCAACACTGCGAGACAGAGTTGGGGCTCTCTCTGCTACCCAGGAGAGAAGGGAGTAATTAAAAGGGATATAAATTTATTCTGAAGGGTCCTTAGCTTTCTTTTCAGGGCTGTGGGATTAAAGATCAATCTACGACTGTTCCGTGCACAAGGACGACCTGAGCCAGGAAGACTGAAAACCCCTTCGACTCCAGCTGCAGGTGCTGAGCACCTCAACAGAAAAGGGAACAGAGAGGGATTGTTACCTGCGGTGCGGATCTCAAATTCACAGGCACTGAGACAATGTCAACTCTATCCAATCAGCCACATTTGATTCACAGTATAATCGATTAAGTTTCCTCACTGCCTGCCCTGCAAACTCAACCCGAGTCATCCGTCACCATTAAAAAATTAATTACCAAATCGCTACGGGCAAATTAATTAACTGGCAGAAGTTTTACAGTCCCATTGACGAGACGTTCCATACATGTAATTACCTGGAACACCTCAAACGGAATAGCTGCTTGTGCGAAAACCAGAATGGAGCCAGCTCACTCTATTAGGCAGCTGGCAGTGAAACACTCTCACATCTCGGGAGTGACAAGGTGGGAAAAGAGAAGATAGATGAAACTCGCATGATCAAAAAAAAAAATAAACCAGGCGAGATTTCAGGTGCACAGACTGTTAAGTCAAAGAGAGGTAACATAACACAAGGGAAAACCAGCTTGTGATTCTCAACTCAAATAAAACTCAGAAGCTACTCCCTGAATGCCACAAGCTCTTGGCAGCTGGAGGCCTCCCCTTCCCTCTGCGCTCGTTTCATTCCAGAGGCAGCCCGGCACGCCACGCGAGTCTTCGCAGACAACACCTGCACCTCCTCAGGTGGGTCTCAGCTCAGCAGTTTTCAGATTTTTCTGACTGAGCCCTGCTTCTTTCCTGTAAGTCTCCTTCAATTGCTCACGTACCCAGTCCTACGCGCACCACATCCATGCCCTCTGACGTAAGAATACAACTAAGATTTGATCAGCAATATATTCTTCTGGTTACTACATCCACAAAATCGTACATCTATTAGGGTACGTAGGGTTTGGCCCACAAAAGAAGTTTCTTCCTCCACAAAAACTGAAAACATGTCGACTTTTTAGCATAACATTCTGCAACTCCACGCCCGAGCGGAAAGCAAGCCTGTCGCTAAAATAATGTTACTGCAATACGAGATTTGCACCAAAAAATGGAAAACAAGTCCTTTAGGTCATCTAAGCCGTCATACTTACACGCATATGTTGCCTGTGAAGTTAATGTGTGGGCACCGGTGTGGTTTGCACATCACAGCCACGACAGCAATCTGCAAGACGTAAAGTTGGAGAAGAGAAATTATAGGAATTGCTTCTGAAGTTACTAAAACAAACCATCCCTTGGATGGCTACGTATCCACGTGCATCTGCGAGAGACTATTGAAAGCTGTTTTCTGCCTAGTCTGCCACCTAGAATATCTGTGTGTTAACCCCTGAAGGAGGTAAGTTTACAAAGAAACAGGAATCCTATTATTTAATATTTTCACAATTCAAGATAAGCTGTCAGTCTATTCCAGGCGTTTTACACCCAAGCTGATCAACCATGTCACTGAACAGACGCACGCTGACACCAACCACCACCTGGAAGATGAGAATGGGGAAAAATCGAAGAGTAACAGAAAGATATAAACCAAAGATAATAAAATCAGTTTCCTCCTTCCACCTGAGCCAAACCTTTTCTTTCCTGGCTGATCTCACAACTGCTTTTCAGACTGTGACACCAAGATACTATCTTCCTTTGTGAAAAAGGACCGGCAGAAAGAAGCAGCCCCCTCCCTGGAAGTGTTCAAGGCCAGGTTGGACGGGGCTTGGAGCAACCTGGTCTGGTGGGAGGTGTCCCTGCCCAGGGCAGGGGCATTGGAACTCAATATTTAAGGTCCCTTCCAACCCAAACCACCCCATGATTCTAGAAGACAGACACACTTGGATGGTCTAGTTTCCAGCAGTTTGGGGCACCCAACTGGGAAATACCCGATTTTCAGTTTTCTGAAAGCCTGGCTGGAGTAAGCGTTTAATGCAACACTGTATAGCCAGAAAGAAGAAATTTAAGAAGGGTGGAATTTTTTTGTGGTTTTCTGGATTTTGGTTTCGGGGGTCATTTTGTTTGGGTTTTTGGCTGGGTGTTTTTGTTAACTTGACTTCAGGCATGCTGCACATACAGTAGAGAAGCTTAAAACCGCACAGTTGAATGTCAGCCAGAGATCTGTTCCTGCCTTCAGCCTGAACAGGTCAAATACCACCCCCTTTCCCTTTGTTCACCATGAGCGCCTGCAGATTAAGCTGCTCTGTTTCTGCGGCATCTAACAAGCAAGACACGCTGCTCTGACACAAAATCTCCGTGCCTTCTCTTTACCTCTTCCCAAATGTTTGGAAAGCAATAGCCCCATGGGCACAACATCACAGAATCATAGGACGGTTCAGGCTGGAAGGGACCTTGAAGATCACCTCGTTCCAACCCCCTGCTGTGGGCAGGGACACCTCTCTCCCCCAGCCCAGGTTGCTCCAAGCCCCGTCCAACCTGGCCTTGAACCCTTCCAGGGATG